GTCCCAAAAATAAATAAACGTTGAAAAAAAAATTTTTTTTACAAAAGGGGTTTCTGGAATGATGACGTCTGTCATTCTGAGAGGGAGCGCTGCCGTAGGGATCTGGAGCTGTCGCCCACAAGCCATGGGTGGGGTGATGGCTTTCAGCATGTTTTTATATAATATTTTTGCTTCCCTTCCCTTATGTTCATCTGGGTTTGTTTTTTTTTTTTTTATCTTAAATTCCTCAAATGAGTGAAGTCATATGATGTTTGTCTTTCTCTGACTAATTTCGCTTAGCATGATACCCTCCGGTTCCATCCACGTGGTTGCAAATGGCAAGATGTCATTCTTTTTGGTTGCTGAGTAATACTCCATTGTATAGACATCCCACATCTTCTTTATCCATCCATCCATCGATGGACATTTGGGCTCTCTCCATACTTTGGCTGTTGTCGATAGTGCTGCTATAAACATGGGGGTGCATGTGTCCCTTCGAAACAGCACCTGTATCCCTTGGATAAATGCCTAGTAGTGCAATTGCTGGGTGGTAGGGCGGTTCTATTTTTAACTTCTTGAGGAGCCTCCATACTGTTTTCCAGAGTGGCCGCACCAGTTTGCATTCCCACCAGCGGTGCGAGAGAGATCCCCTCTCTCTGCATCCTCGACACCATCTGTTGTTGCCCGAGTTGTTCATGTGAGCCGTTCTGACAGGTGTCAGGTGATATCTCATTGTGGTTTTGATATGTATTTCCCTGATGATGAGTGAAGTTGAGCATTTTTTCATGTGTCGGTTGGCCATCTGGATGTCTTCTGTGGAGAAGTGTCTGTTCATGACATCCACCTTTTCTTGGCCAGAGAGGAAGCTCAGAGACCTGGTGACCATCGCCACCAAAACTTTCCTCCGTCCCCACAAGCTCATGACCATGCTCCGGAGCATTCGGGAGTTCTACCCAGACTTGACCGTGATCGTGGCCGATGACAGCAAGGAGCCCCTGAAGATTAACGACAACCATGTGGAGTATTACACCATGCCCTTTGGGAAGGTGTGTCCCCGGCAGATGGGGAGGCATCTGGGTCCTGGGACCCAGAGTCCGTTCTTCCCTGGATGGGGCTGCCTGAGTGGCCTTCCCAAGGAAGCCCGAATCTGGGGTGGAGGGGGTGGGGCTCTTCTCTGAGCCCCGTTGCTGACTCCACCTTCACAGAGAAATCGGGTCACTCTTACTTTTCTGCACTAACGAGGCGATCAGTCCATCTTTCCTCACGCTTGGTGTGGACATTAGTCTTTCTAAGTGACCTGAGGTGTCGGACATCCTAAGGATTCCTGACCTGCAGATTCAAGAGCAGAGAACCTCGTGATCCCTATGATTCCACCCAAGCTAGAGGCACTCTCCCTCTCTCCCTTTCTCTCTCCTTCACATACCCTTTCCTGCAAGGACACACAGAAACAAGAGGGGATGATGTATACTATAGCGTCCCACCCTCCAACACTTTCCAGGCACCAGGAGGGGAAGTGGAGAGAGAGTCACAGAGTCAGGCGAGAAAGGACTCCGGTCACCCCACATTGGCCCTGGGACCAATGAAGGGCTTCCTGGCCTTTTCTTTT